TCCATCCTTCCATCCTTCCATCCTTCCATCCTTCCATCCTTCCATCCATCCATCCATCCTTCCTTCCTTCCTTCCTTCCTTTGACCTTGGCGGGTCTGCAGAAGCATGACGAGTTCCCATCTCCAAGGCCACAATGCTGACAGTCCCGGCGGACAGGCGCCGGTTCGTCATATCTCGTCGTTCGCGAAAGGACTTCCCCGACGCGAGTTCCGGGGAAGTCCGACTGCCCAGGAGATGGGATCATAACCCTCGGACCTGGGTCACCGCTCCCTAAGGCCCTAAGATCAACAGATTCTCTGGGATCACCTGCTCGGATGAGGATCACCGGATCACTCCAAGGTCACGGACTCCCGGACCTGGATCCCTGGATCGGCTGGTTGGAGGAGTCTGGATCACCGCTTTGAATTTCTCGTGAGGCCAAGTCTGCGGTGGTCTGCCGACACTGGAAGTCCAAGGGCTGGTGCCGCATGGGCAACGAGTGTCGCTCAGCTCAGCTAGCGCCGACTTGCCGGGGCCGACGTGCCGTTTCAGCAGATCACCTCATCCTACTGAGAGGGGCGAGGTAGCGGTTTTCTCTTTTCCTCTCTTGTTTTTTCTTCTTCCCTATTCATTTGGAAACACCAAGAATCCGAAGCGAGATAATATGGCTAACTTGTAAGGCTCTGGTTGGAACTGTCAGGACGTACTGCAACTCAAAAGTGCCACCATGTTTTTTCTCCTCCCGGAGATCTGAGATTTTATTAAGCAAAGTATGCTGGTCACACGTGCATTTGGAGCTATACTGCATATTTAATTCCTAATTCATTTGCCAAAGGCATTTTTGAAAGCTGTCCGCCAAGTCCCAAATCTTGTGGGGCCAGTATACCTTTTTGATCCTTTCCACCATTCCTGACTCTGACCAAGGCAAGTTTGCCCACCCAGAGCACAAATGCGGAGCAGGATTGCCGGCCAAGAAGGCAGGACGACTCTTGCGGCGAAGTCCGCGAGACCCGTTCTGTTGGGAGAATGAAGAAGCAGGCTCAAACCAATCATGTTCTGTTTGGATTCAGCAGGTAGATGATGGCAAGATCCCATGGACCTCTGCCTTGTAATTAATCCGCCTCCTGACTTTTTCCTTGGCTAATTCGTCTGTGACATCGCACATTTTTTGAAGGTGCTCTGCAGTGTGGTACCTCAACAGGTTGCCAATGTCTCGCACCTTTTTCGAGTCGTCAAGAACTTTCTTGCACCAATTGAGTTGAACAGTCTTGCTTTTGACTCCAAGAAGTTCTTCTTCGGCCAGGACAAAGACAAGGCCGCGAATCTCGGCAGCTGCTTGCTCGCAAGACACGGCTTCGGGGCAGTTGAGACGGCCTCACGTGAGACGGACTCGTTACCACCGCCGTTGGTCCACAAGGGGGGACGTTCTGGCTGGCGCTCGTGTTGGCCGCCACTGCGCGTTCAGGAGCAGAAGAGGGACAAGCACAGGTGGGATGCCAAGAGCACCGATATATGGCTTGTTGTTTCCCTTCTCTCTCTCTCTCTCTCTCTCTTCATGGCCACGTTTTTGAGGAGAAGAAAAGTGAAAAGCCAAAGGCAAAGAAGAACAAAGGACAAGTTGGACAGGGTAAAGAGGTGCAAGTTGGGGATGCGGCGACATTGGTGCTTATGGGGTTGGACCGGACGGCTATCCCATCGACGTGAGTGTGTTTGGAGTGGCGCAAAGACTGTTTCCTTGGTTCCCTGAAGGGCGGTTGGAGAGCTCATCATGTCGTGGCAAGGGGCCAAGACAGTATGAAAAACGAGCCAGGTGTGCCACCTTGGCACAAGGTGAGCCCCCCTCGTGCTCTCTGGAATTGCAACCTCGAATCCTAAAGTGGCAGAGGTAACCCAAAAATCCCATGTGACTATGTGCTATGTGTGTGCCACTGGCGGCCACAGGTTCACTAATGCCTGTCCTTTGTTGGCCCACTTCCGCTCAGTTTGTGCGCATCAGTCCCCTCAAACTTTTGAAGGGTTGAGCAGAATGTGGCATAACATAGTTAACACAGCCCTGAGGTTGGTGGGTATTCGGATGGCAACCGGTTCGGAGTGTTCGTTTTCGACGGTCATGGGCACCTTCCTTCCGTCGGCAGCTCTTGCCTTGATCTTGACTTGGTGTGAGGTGCGCGCATCTCCGGCTCTGACGCCAGGTGGGGCTGCAGTCTTTCGGAGGACCGGATATGTTTTCCTTTTGCTTTTCGTCACCCCACTGCATTTGAAACTCATGCGAAACGTGTAGGTTAGATGGGTGGTGTGCCAGCGTTGTGTGGAGCTCCCGATCTTGGGTTCCTTTGAAACTTCTATGTTGGCTTGCTGTGTGGGGCAAGTTCTGGCCTTAATGTACACGCTTGTGGCTGGGCTGTGGTTGATAGCTGCAAGTTCTAAGCTGCCTTGGCAGGTTTGGTCAATCCAAATAGCTGAGCTTAGCTGTGGTTTCACATGCAGCTAGTGAAATTAGTGAAAGCAACCGGCACGCTGACCTTACGAACCTGTTGGTCGAACTCCATGTGTAGTGCTGGTGGCTGGCTGGTGGCTTTCACACCGAAGCCTCTTAGGATTAGGAGTTGTCCTATTCCCGCAAGGAGGTGAAACACCTTCTAATGCATGTTGTCAACTGTCACAGTATGAAGCAGAACTGTGGGTCCTTGCTCTTCAGCCCCTCAAAGGTTCCACCCTGTGTGCAGGACTGGGTGGTTGCACATGTGGACATGCTTTTCCAGTAAGTGTGTCCTTTCTTTTGGTTTCCATGTTAGAATGAGTCTGGTTGATGCATACACTGGTGCGAGAGCTTCAACATCATTGTTTTTGTTTGGCTTTTGAACAGTGGCTTCATGGTGATCATTGTCCTGGCCAAGGCATCACCGGTTGGATGGCTGGCACCGAACGAAGGTTCCCTAAAAAACTCGCAACAGTTTGGTTCACGATGACGAACAACACAAGAGAATTCTCGTGTGTATTGTTGGGGAGATGTGCCCTAAGAAGTGAGGCAAAAGTCATGGAATGGCGCCACATGATGGCCATGCGGCATGGGGGAAACATGCTGAAGATGTCGTTGCATTTTCTGCTTCCCAGTGACACTATGACACTAGTGCTGCTGCCTGCTGGCTCGGCTGTACAAATTGATTCTGTCAATGTGGCCTGGCTCATGCAAGTGACGGCTGCAATGCTTTGGGACGAGAGAGCCTCATTCTCATGACTTCATTTCGATGCATCTCTTTTGGGGCGTGTGTTTCAGAAGACGGCAACACTCCAAGCGCACCCGTCAAAACAACCTTTCGTCTCCCCCATCTGGGGGTCCCAAACCATCACAGCTGGACTTGAATGCCTTTCCGGCGCGACGCGACGGATGCCGGGTCTTTCCAAAGGCCCCACCATTTAGCGGCGGATTTTCCACCGGCCGAAGGCCGTCCGAAGTCCGAAAGAAGGCCGTTGGGTTCCGCGGCGGACTGTTCCACCCGGTGGTGACCGGGTCACCCCCGCCGGTGACGTTCGGCGGGCGTTTTCGGCGTTTTCGGCGTTTGGTCGTTTCTGTTTTTGGAGCGCCTCCCGGGTTGCTGGATGAGAGTTTGGCCGGTTGCTTCAGCTTCCGCTTTGGTATTTTTGGTGCTGTGCTGGCTCAAGCGAACACAGTGCCAATAGTTCTCAATGGTTCAAGATGGTTCAAGAGAGAGTTTTTGCAATTTGAGTAATCCGCAGCACGGGGCCATTCTTTGTTTTCGTCTTGGCCAGCGGATTTGTGTGTGGGACATGGTTCTTTAGCAAGATTCGTCAGCCAGAGTAAGGGACTAAATTCAGTGTTTTTGTCCTCCTTCCCATCCTTCCATGTCGTCCCAATGTCTGGACGCAGCCAGCCAGAGCGGTAACCGCAGATTTGACCGGGGTTCTCAAATGGCATTAGGAGGATTTTGTTGATGTTTTAGCACCTGATTGATCACTTTGGCCCTTGAGAAGTGCACTCAAATCTCGATTGAGTCCAAAGCCTTAGCACCTATGCGACTACGCACTCCTCTCTCCCGTGGCAGGAGCAATGGATTACGTGCTTCAACTGCTTGGGGCATGCACCTCCGTGGACAAGGCGGATCGAGAGAACGATGCCTCGGACATGCCGCTCGGAGGGAAGTACGTGGACCAGGCCGTTTTTGGGCCCAGTTCGTTTGTTTTTACTTTGCTTGAGCTGTTCCGATTTCGTTTGTTTCGTTTTGAATATTATTACTTTTTGTTGTGGGTGGGGTCTTTTGGGCATACGTCTACAACGAACCGCGGAACCGAGGGAAAAATGACAGGCCGAAACCGAGCGGAACCGAGCGGCTTTTTGAGCGTTTTGAGGCAACTCAGCGCGTTTGAGTTTCGGCAGTATCAGACCAGCTTGGAATCCTCACAGCAGCGTTTGGTGGAGAGAGTGGTGAACCAGTGGGTGGCCATGTTAGTGAAGGCCAGATCGCCATGGTTTGATTCGTTTCCAGTATTTTCCTTTCGTGACGATGGGAGGTCGGAGAAGTAGCTGGTGGATGTCTTGGGTGAGTAGGGCTAGTAAGGTGTTAGGTGTTCGGCGTTTGTTTCTGGGAAACCCCGGGCGCACAGCTGGGCCGATTGATTGAAGAATGCTCGAGCTGAACCAGGCTCAAGCGGCTTGGGAAGAGTTGGAATTTGGACATCCGCCATCTCATTGTTGGAATGCAGATGGTTATTTGGTCACAACATCACTAAAGACTCTGAACGCTTTTTTGGAGTCACCGCACGTCAGGGGCCACCAGACCTCTGGGAGAACCCCCACCCACAGGATCCGTTTTTGTCACCGGCCAGGGAATGATCATGCGGGTGAATGGATTTGAGGAAAAGACCTTCCTGGATCGTGACCTGCTGAATTTGGAGCTGAATGGAGAGGTGTACCCTTTAGATGCCTTGTGCCGTATGGAGATGTACAAAGAATCCGATGACAATATCGTGAACATCCCCTGGGTGGTGGAGCTGACCTTTGACTTCGAAGAGGGCGAAACGATCCTGGCCTTTGCCTTTGATCGGGAGCGCCATCGACTCCAATTTGCGTTGACCCTGCGTGTGTTGCGCACGCGGAATCCCAGCTTGAATCTGGCTGGAGAGACACTCGGCATTGCTGGGAGCTGGGAATTTTCTGGACCGATTTTCGGCCTCGAACGTATAACACCTCGAAGAGTCGTACCGTCCAGGAGCCCCTGATTTGATGCCTCCAATCATCACCAGAAAAGCAGGTCCAGACTTTGGGACCCAAGATGAAGCGGCGAACGAAGAAACAGGCCGAGTATGACTAGGGGCGGAGACAGGGGGGTTAGACTGTCTCGACGGAATTTTGCTTTTCCACCTGATGTGAAGGACTCCCTCTTTTTCCCACGACTGAGGTTTGAAGTCATCACTCGCGACGAGGAGGGGGACGAGAATGGCCCGTCCTTGCGGAAGCTGGTGTCCTCCAACCGCTACGACGTGCAGGGGATGGGCATTACCGTCGTGATCAGCATTGGCACTCTGAAGGTGGGCTGTTAGGTTTTCTTGAAGAAAAAGAAAGTAGATGAAAGTAGTAGCTTTATTGTTCCCAGTAGTAAGGCCAGGAGCCCCTCGCGCTCCAAGTAGTGATGCCAGGAGTCCCTAGTAGCGTTCATCGTACAATATGGTTGGATCGGAGGCCCTATCCATTGAGCGGATTTTCCAATATCGGATATGATCGGAGTGGGAGGTTGAAACGGTGGCTTCAGTGGTCCTTACTTGGTCTCTACTACGTAGTTGGCCTCGTGGTCTCTGGTAGAGTCTCTAGAGTTGGTTTTTCAAGTTGTTAAATGATCATGAGATCCTTTGTGTACCTAGAACTTGAGTGACCTCTATATTGGACCACCAGCCACCTAAAATCTGGTCTTTTCTATCAAAACAGAGGTCAAATGGGGTCCAGGTATATAAATTGTTGTTTCACGCTAGGATGTCTAATACATGTCTCACTTACCTACCATTTTGGCTCAAGGAAAACCAGGTGCGACTTGTTGGTAGTTCTCGGTCGTTTACCTGTAACTACAGGTTATCAGCCGTATCGCCATAAGTGCGGTACGTGCTTTCTACTAGCTGTGGTCTCACCCCACCATAGGTAGTGCACTATCTAGAGGCCATGGCTGATGATGATGCTTCCCGTGGCGACCGCTCACGCTCAGGCTACGTTCCCACTTCGCCTGCGATGTCCAGTTCACCTGCTCCTGAGCTCCCTGTCGTTCCGCTGGAGTTGCGTGTGCCAGTTGTGCCACCGACGTTCAGTGCACAGGGGGACCTGTTGCCTAGTGGTCAAGCCCCGTCGCCGTTTCAACCTGAGTTTTCTCCTGTGATGAATGTCCAGAACGTTGATGCAAGACAGATCCATCAACAAGCAGTCTTTGTCAATGAGGACAGGTCAGCTCAGGTAGCTCAGATCGCGGAGCTGCGGCATCAGGCCATTTTGGCCGAGCACGGGCAACAAGCAGCAGAGGATGCAAGACATTTTAGGGACTTAGTGGAGAACCAAGCTAAAGTGGCTGTCCAGGAGCCTAGGGAACAAATTGAGGCTTTAGCCAATCAACGATTGAGTGACATGAACCAAGCCCATCAACATCAACATATTCATGAACAACGGGCTTACCTAGATCGCCTTTCGCTCGAACGACACGCCGTCGTTGAGAACGAACGCGCCTCTGCCAAGCAAAGAGAGGATGCACTTCGGTCGGAGTTAGCCGAACAGAGTCGGATAATCAAGGAGTTGAGAGAGAGGTTTGACAACGCCTCGGGGAACCGAGTGCCTGCACCAACAATGCAGCCGCTTGGGTCTCAGGCATCCCCAGCTTTGCCTCCGGCGAGCCTTCGCACTCAGTTGGAGAAGCCCGGGATCAAAGGCGGTGAAGAGCCTCATCCATCCGATGCTGATGAAGAGGGTGGTGACAAGTCAAACAAAGACAAGAAGAAGAAAGGTAAAGAGAGGAAGAAAGAGAGGAGTCCAAAAAGGGGCCGCTCTAGAGAGCGCAGGAAGAAACGCTCTCCTTCCCCATCGCCTTCGTCACCCAGTTCGTCAGGAGGGAGTGCTGACTCCAATGACTCAAGTTCTGAATCATCGCGTCTTGCACGCATCATCCGCAAGGAGCTGAAGAAGCAGCAAAGGAAGTCAAAAGACAAGGATCATGAGAGTAAAGCCAAAGAGGCTGACAAAATTCTCATTCCTAAGTTCCCCACACCTGAGAAGTACAGAGACTGGAAGATCAAGGTGAGGGACAACATTGCTGCAGCTTCAGCAAAGCCGGATGAAGCGAGGTCATGGGTTGGGAAAGTGTACAAAGAGTCCCAAACCATTGATGCCTTGGATGATTCAGAGGGATTCGCAACCCTCGACGCAAAGCTTCTTGCAAGCTTGACCAATTGCGCTGAGGGGGACCTCGGTCGGCAGATTGCTACATTCAAGGAGCTGCGTGCTCGTGAAGACAAGAACGTGAAGGGTAGGCACTTGCTCCTTCGGTTCCACGAGTATTTTGCCACAAGCATCAAGCATGGAGCAATCTACGGACTCGAAGACCTCATGTCCGTCAAAATGGTCAACGATGACCTCAAGGGCTTTATAAATAAATGGGATAGCGTTCTTGCCGGAATGAAAAAGGAACCAGAAAATAGTGTTCTGGAAGCCTATTTCCACCTGGCAGTGAAACGTTTCAAGCCACTTGAGCATGATTTGGCCTTGTACGACCGTGCAGCCGATGGAAGCAAAGAAAGAACGTACGACTTCCTGATCACTGCTGCCCGGGCCTACCTTGAACGGAGAAGGTTGGAAAAGATGCGCGACGCCACGAAGCGTTCGCTCGGGTCCAAAGATACAACCATGCCAGCTCCGGAGGAGAAGAAAGGCATCTGCTACCAGTTTCAAAAGACCGGAAAATGCAAGCGCGGATCATCATGTCCTTACAAGCACGAAAAAGGCCGCGAGAAAAGCAAAGGAAAGGGAAAGGGTAAGGATCGCAGCCAATCTCGGTCAAGATCGCTGACACCAGGATCTCGCAAGGAGACTTGCAAGTTTTGGAAGGCAGGACATTGCCACCGAGGAAAAGACTGCGCATTCCAACACCCTGAAAAGACTGTCCCTGCGAAGAAAGAGGACAAAAAGAAGAAGAAAAAGAAAGACAAGAAACCTCGCAAGCGAAGCAGCTCACGAGGATCATCAGGCTCCGACAACTCAACTGGCTCTGAGAGTCAGAGGAGAAAAGGTGGGAAATCTTCTTCTTCCAATGCACCGGCAGCGGTATGCCTCCTTCGAGCAGTGGTCATGGCCGCAGTGGTCGCTCAGGGATCCTCCGTCCTCATCACTCGCCCGCTGGGAAGCGTGGCCATGCCAGTCCTTTCCGCATCAAACACTATGTGCACCGATTTTGACAACACAGAAAACATTGACAATTTTGTTACGCAAAGAGTTCGTTTTGACGATCGACCAGACATTTTCAATCATGCTGTTGAGTCTTCTTCCAGTTGGAGATCCGTTCAACCCCGAAGTAAGAAGAAACGAAGACCCTTT